CACACAGGTACATGCCAGTGTGATGAGAGTTAACGAGTAGATGGTGTGTTACAACCTCTTCTCCCACCCTAATGACCCATCCCTACATACACACACACGCACATACATACACACACACACGCACACACACACACACACACACACACACACACACACACACACACACACACACACACACACACACACACACACACACACACACACACACACACAGCTTTTTTAATGAGCTGACAGAGCAGAGCAGGCCCTTTCCTGCTGTCCTCACGGTCCCCCGGAGTCGAGTGTGTTTTTGTTTAAAGGAGCAAAAGTAAAAGAGGAGAGAGTGAAAGAGGCTCAAAGAGAGGCGCTAACGACGCAGGCCCTGACACGTCCGATATCGCTTACATCACACTGAGCAGAATGCGATGGCAATTGTGGGCGTGTTTGTGTACGGATGCACCGAGGCACACCCGGATATCATTTTCATTTTGGAAAAGCTGAGGGAGGTTTTACTAGTTTGCGGTTTGGGACTCGTTTTAATCATGGCAGCAGCTTTAGTGTCACTGGTTGGATGTTTGGATGATAGTTCAGAGGTAATGCAGGGAGAACCGGTCTTACATAGTGTCTCTGATAGATTGGACATTTTAAAATCAATCTGCTTTAAGAGCAGTTTGAACTAAAACATGTGGTTTCAGCTTCCTTACCACACACAACATATAATTAACCCAGTGAGTCAGACAAATATGAAAAAGATCTCTTTAATTCAAGTCAGATGCCACATTAAGAGAGCTAGATCCAGTTGTACAGCTGAAATCAGAACGGGTTTGTGTTCAACATCATCAGACTAGGAACCCAGAAGCTGGAAACGCAAGGATCATCCCTCTTATGGCAGGTTTCAGACACGTTTTAACTTCCTTTAAACAAACATTACTTTCTTATTTAGTTTCTCCCACAGATGAGTCCTGCATTTGATGATTCAACAAGCCTTAACCATGCTGAAGATGTCTTTTTACTTTCTTTGACATTAAATGTGCTACTACTAGTTTACCTGTTTAAGTATAGATTCACTAAGATAAGTACAATAAAGTTTATCTCTCACTAAATAGAATATTTACTGTGTGTGTGTGTGTGTGTGTGTGTGTGTGTGTGTGTGTGTGTGTGTGTATCGGTGTTGGTGTGTGTGTGTCTGCTCTGTCTTCTTGATCCCCAGTCATGGCTGCTTATACTGAGCAAGGATCCTCTGGAGGTTTCTTCCTGTTAAAAGGGAGTTTTCCTCTCCACTGTCGCTAACTGCTTGCTTAGTATGAGGTTTGCTGTAAAGACTCTGACACTAGTCAGTGACTTGATGGGTTCCTTATACAGGAAACGTTTCATTGATTGGCTTAATGAACTGACCTGTATTGGAATGTTTAGTGTGTGAAGTGCCTTGAGACGACTCTTGTCGTGATTTGGCGCTATAGAAATAAACTTGACCTTGAACTTTTCTAAACCCAGATGACCCAGAACAGTCGACCAGACGGTTGTTACTCAGTCTTAAGTCGTGTGAGTGCAGTACACGTTTACTTATCAAACTAGATCCAGGATGATTAATCTACTTAAACTTGAAAAATGTCAAAAATAACAAGATTATGAGGATGCAGGTCATCCCTGTGATGCTTCTCCTGCTCTAAAAACTATTGATTGGGTGTAAAATGTTTGTGTTGCATCAAGACTCAAGGGTTTATCAGCAGTTTTCATGAAACATCCCCGACCGAACATCCCCACATAAAACCATTTAGGAATCTATAGTCTCCCTGTTTATTCTTTAGGGAATCAATGGACTAGGGTTGTGTACTGGCACGAATCTGGGGATAAGATGAATATCACAATATACAGGGTTGATGAAACGATATATTGTGACTCTTAAAGTCAGATAATATGTGCACATTTTAAGACTGAATTTAATTGGAAAACTCATGGAAAACGCTTCCAAGATACATCCTGTGCTATCGCAAGATTTCGCTGTTCCGTCTTAATGAAGGCTATGAAACTGCTGCCACCTAGCAGTCAGAATTTGATTTGCACCACACAAAAGTAAGACAGTAAATGCTTACATGGAAAACCTCAGTACATAATCATTACATCACTTTTAAATCCTGATTCAGTTTATGAACACAAAATATCTCAATATTCAGTGCATCAGTATTTTCTTACATCCCTACTATGGACAGAATCTTTGAATGAAGCTTTTAAAAAGCTAATAAATGGCTAAATGTTTGTAGATAATGGCGCTCTTGTCCAATTTTGTCCACTTGAGTATAAAATCTTAACATATGTTTGCAGGAATCCACTCAGAGTAATCTTTTTGTAACACAGTTTATATTTAAATGTGGCTGTTGGCTTAAATTAAACAATCAATTAATCAAAATGCAGTTGTTTTATTTAAAAAATACACATAATATTTTTACTGTATCATGACAAAGGTAATGATAATAATTCAGTTATGATTTAACACTAAAATGTTGTTTTGGATCCAGTTGGAGCTCCCCCTGCTGGCCTTTAAAGGAAATAACGTTAAGAACAGATCCTTTTTAAACATTTGAAATCTCACAGCTACACAAGCTTTTTATTTATTTTATCTGCTTTGAGTTCCCTCTGTTGTTGTGAACACGTAAAACTTTATTACATTTGTCATTAACAGTGACACCGGTATTCTTTACTCCCTGGGAATTTGGATGTAATTTTTCTGCTCCAGTATTTATGAGAACCACCAGGTTTTCTCTCCTCTCCTCCTCCTTTTCTCCTTCCAGTTGTGTTTTGATGCACGGAGCTCCACAGCCCTGCAGCTCTCCGACGTGTTTATTCATTCCCTCGACGCTTCTCAAAGATTCCTAGAGGGAGTTAAATATCTTAATCTGTGGCTGATTTCACCCTGCCAGCCCCCAATGAGGTCTATGGTCAGAGGTGAAGGGTGAGAGGTCAATGTAGCACCCCCCCCCCCCCACACCTCGAACCCCCATAGTCCCAAAGCAGACAGACCTCACTGAACCAGAGACAGAGTGATGGATGGAGGGTTAACGCCCCCCCCCCCCCCCCCCCCCCCCCCACACACACACACACACTCACTCTCCGTCATCACCCCCCACCCCCATGCACAGCCACCACCAGCACCACCGCCACTCTCCCTGGAGTGTGAGCCAAAAGGAGGAGAGGATGAAGAATGAAAGCAAATAAAAAAGACAACGTCAGACAAACGGCAGTGTGAGGGACACAGAGGTGACGGCTGAGGAGAGAAGGGATGGAAAGATTAAACGAGTGACAGAGGATAGGAGGGAGGATGGAGAGGTTTGAGAGGGAGAGCGGAGAGGTGGGGAGGTGGTAGAGATAGCATGGAGGAGGAGGAAGAGGAGGAGGGGGGGATAGCTAGAAAAAAAAGGTCACGTGATCACGTAGCAGCTGCAAGGCTGAGAGGGGGAGAGTGAAAGAGTCTCACACAGGAGCAGAGAGACGACGAGCAGGAGGAGACCAGAGAGCGGGAGGGTGAGTGTTTGCATGTTTGAATTACGTTCAGATGCACACTTTAGTCTGAGCTGATGGGGCTCAGAAACGATAGGGCGACACATCAGAGGAGAGACTCTAGAAAGAAGGGAGGGAGACAACAAGAGGGGAGAGAGAGAGAGAGTGTGTGTGTGTGTGTGTGTGTGTGTGGCTTTTGTTAAATAAGCTGAAGTATGCTGAGATAAAATGAAGAAGGAGACAAAAGGAGAAGAGTGAGAGCAGAGAGAGGAGAGAGGAGAGAGAAAGAGAAGGAGTCGATAGAAACTGTCTTATCATCTCTCCCTTGACTGCTGGGCTCAGCACACACACACACGCACGCACACACACACACACACACACACACACACACACACACACACACACACACACACACACAGATCTGAGCTTTTACTCTCTTCATCTCTTCCTGATTTCCTTTATTTAACACGCTTTACCCACTGGAATAAACAAAATGTGTGACATCATAGAGAATCACTTGGTGTGAGAGAAGACTCACGGACATGAGCTTCTTCTGATTATTCCTCCTGTTTTACTCACAGAGGAAGTTTCTCTTCCAGCAGCTTTTGCTAATCTCCACTTTAGTTAAAGATCAGTGCCCAGATCTGACACACACACGCACACACACTCCTCATCTATCAGTCTGCGGCATGTTTTGGGTCACGCTTGTGTCAGGTTAGGGGCTCGGATCCAGTTAGACGTGTGTAAACACCAGATCTGTGGTCCTCTCTGGCCAACAGACCCTGACACCTGACTGTCCTTTATGCTGAACAGCGTTTTCAGAGCGATGAGCGGACCACTCAATAATCCTGTTCAGTTATGAATTTTTCATGAGTGTGTTTGCTGCTTTTGCTCTTTGTTTGTTCTTCTTGTGGTTGGTGTGCTTTAAAGGTGTTTGTGTGACCGCGTGTTGTGGCGTTAATGAGGTCATGGCTGCAGCAGGCAGGGGAGGGGGGAGGAAGGGGAGAGGAAGGGGAGGATAGGATCCTGCTGTAATTAACATTAGCGGGCCAGAATGATGGTGGAGGATCAAAAACAAAGGTCATTCCAACTGATTCACCTCTTTGTTTTGACCTTCCGGGACGCTGATGGGTGTTAGTTGTGAGTGTGTGTGTGCTGACATCTGTAAAGGGTGTAAAAAAAAAACACAGCGATACTTAATAAAAGTGGTGTGTGGACGCTTCGGGGGTCTTAAGATGTGTCGGCTGGCTCCCTTGAGGAAGCGGACACGTGTGCACCCATGTGTGTGATTTGCTATTAGGGTCAGCACTCTATTTGACACAGCTCTACACACCCCTCCACTCTGTGGTGAAGCTGACCCACTCTTTATCACACACACACACACACACACACGCACGCACGCACGCACGCACGCACGCACGCACACACACACACACACACACACAGAGGTCAGATCAGTTCCAATATAAAACACCAGCTGCCCACTAAGTTAACTTACAACCTTTCTATCCCCATCCTCTTCCCAGGTATGAACCATGACTCCAATAAATCTCCATCATTAGGAATGATCACCACGGCAACTCGCACCACAGCCACAGTCCAGTCCCCTCAGCCCACTAACCAATGGGAACCGCGGTTTGCCCAGTCTGCAAACTCCGGATTCGCTGCTGCCTTGCGTAAACTGGCCAAACAGGTCGAGGATCCCAGAGGTGAGCGTCATTCTGGCCGCATTTTTTGAGTTTTAAACAGCGACCAACGTGGTTCTGGATTGGCCAAATCCAAACAGAGCCACTTGTTGGTGGGTTTTGTCTAACAGGTAACCTTTCTGCTCTTCACTTTCTGAGCAAACCCGCTCAACACAGACACGATGACAGTGTTAATCCTCTTTATTAACTCTGCAAAGAAAATAAGCATATTTCTTCCAACTATCCCATCAAGCAGCCTGAAAATAGATCTACTCACAAAACCAAGGTTGTGTGTTGTGCTTTAATGTGAATCCTATAGAGGTCTATGTGTGTGTGTGTCCTCACTCTGCTCTCCGCTGTCTTAATGAAGGTTTTTGAAAAGAGCTAAAGTGAATTAATTTATTGGTACAAAAACAAGTGTTAAGTACTAACAAATACCATCCACTTCAACATTTATAGCCCAAGCTAACTTGACCTCTCCCTCTGTGTCTCCTCCTCCTTTCATTTCCATTTTTCTCCCAATTATGAGAATCTAATTACAGCCAATTATAGGAAGCTTTCCATCATGTCTTCTCTCTTTCCCTCTCCTCTCTCTGAAGCCCTACACGAACTTTCTCTCCATCTCAGTAGTTCCTCGTCTGCCTCGTAGTGTGTGTGTGTGTGTGTGTGTGTGTGTGGTGTTACAGGAACAGAGTTACACCAGTGAATGCTACTCGCATCACACGATTCACACGTTTAACACCTCCCTTCACAGTGTCGCACCCCATCCTCCTTTTAACACATTCCTTCAAACAACATCCTTCATTTGCTCTCTCTCTCTCTCTCTCTCTCTCTCTCTCTCTCTCTCTCTCTCTCTCTCTCTCTCTCTCTCTCTCTCTCTCTCTCTCTCTCTCTCTCTCAGTCTGAGTTTTGTGATCACATGTGCCCTCCCCCCTCTTGTTTTTGTATCATATTGCACCTAGTAAAGCTATTTGCACAGAAAATTTCTTTAAATCTGATTAGCTTTGTCCTTCTGTCAGGTTCTGCCATCAACGGTGAACCGTCTCCGGTCTCCTCTCCGGGCACCAACCACAACTCACCAGTCACCACTCCTAAGCGGGGCTCATTAGGCCCCCTTTTGAGTCAGAATAGGGGCCGTGGGGTCCCTAGCACCCCTCCCGTGGTCACCATTGCCCCCACCAAGACCAGCAACGGCCCGTGGAGGCCTGAGGGCCGACAGGTAAGAGGAGCTGTTTGTTAAACACCTGCTGACGGGGTTGAACTGTGTGTGTGTGTGTGTGTGTGTGTGTGTGTGTGTGTGTGTGTGTGTGTGTGTGTGTGTGTGTGTGTGTGTGTGTGTGTGTGTGTGTGTGTGTGTGTGTGTGTGTGTGTGTGTGTGTGTGTGTGTGTGTGTGTGTGTGTGTGTGTGTGTGTGTGTGTGTGTGTGTGTGTGTGTATTGTACTCTTTGTTGGCCGGCCTTCCTCCCTCTGCCCCCCCCATCTTTTTTTATCTTAGCTGCTGCTCCTTCCATTAAAGAAATAGTCAGAGTGCTTGTCAACATCCAGCCATCAAAACCAGCCTTCCCACCATTTTTTCTTCTTTGTGTGTCCCTTCCTGCCTCTCTCTATCTTGTCTTTCGCTTTTCATGCTTTTCCACCTTAACCCCCCCCCCCCCCCACACACACACACACACACACATACACACACACACAGATGAGTCCGTGTCTTTCTCAGTAGCTCACGAGAGATTTATAAAGAAACACAGGAGGCTGCAGAGGCAGGCATCCATTGTGATTCACTTCCTGCGGTGTTTGTGTGTATATATGCACGTTGAAGTGTGTGTATGTTTGTGTGCGTCTGTGTGTGTACTTGACCCTCCACTGCAATAGACTTAGGATATGAAGAGGGGGTCTGTGTGTGTGTGGAGCGAGCAACCAGGCCTCACACACAATGCTGAGGTTAGCCCCCACAGTAGCCACTTCTCCCCTGGATCAGAGCTGCCTTTCTCCCCCCTTCACAAAGAGCACTCTGTGGCTCTGCCTGCCTGGGGCTCTCATTCAGAGAGAAAAAGAAGAAACAGGGGAGGGAGAGAGGAAAACAGAGAAGAGAATTGAACCCTAGAGAGGGAAGAACAAGCAGGAAAGCACCAGAAACACCTTTAATGCTCAGTGTAAATTCATTATCACTGCGCTGCACACACTCAAACGATTTGCGCAGAAGAAACAGACGGTGTTTGTTTTACTGCTGCCTTCATGAAGGCCATTTGGCTGCCTGCACGATCAGAGGTCAGGGAATGCGATGGCTGCTGTCCAGACTCGCCTTGCGCTGCCTTCCTCTGTTATCTCCAACCAGCGGAGGTTGCAGGAACATGCTGGCAGAGATGGTTTGAATCTGTTTTCCATGAATGACATATCCAAAACTATTCAAAGATATTCAAAGCGCTGGTATTTTACTGCAAATCACATGTACAAACGAAGGTAGCTGATCAGGTATTGTCCTGAGAGGTCATTTGCTTGTGGTTTGACCGTGGACAGGCTAACCTTTATCCCAGGCTGTTGCTGTAGCAACAACAAATGACACATCAGAGGGAAATTAGTGTCTTGTAGTCCTTAACTTGCTTTAAATTTTCCAGCACGTTTCAGCACCATTACAACTCAAAAGCCTCGTTATGTTTGTCTTTAAATCTGTTTATTTTAGATTTTCTTTAAACATCTTTTAGCAATTTTAAGATTTCAGTTTTAACCATCTATAAGTGAACAGAGCCTTTGGAGTTGACAGCTGAAGGGGAACAACTTTATTGAACAAAACAAAAGACAAGACAGGCACACGCATGAAGATCAGGTACGGGATTAAAACGTTTTGAGAAGTGAAGTTAGTAATGAGGCAAACATAAAGTAAGTTGAGATCTAATAAAATACAAAAAACCATGTTACAATATCCAAACTGCCTCAACATACGTGTTGAAATTCTCTTCAGAGCGGGCGATGGATGGAGACCTTAGATCTCGACCTTTTGTGACACATCAGACCCACTTTTCTGCTCCGCTGAGCCTCTTGGTGCATCTTTAAGGTTTTTACTCAGTCACTGTGCTTCGGTTCCCTCTCCTCTCCTCTCCTCTCGCGCACACACTCAGACCTCATGAATATATAGGGTAACAACCTCTCTCACTCCTCCTGTGTGTGTCAGGTTGAGTCAAGCGCTCAGGGACTAAGTAGGGAGCGAGGAGCAGCTGAGAACAGCCAGTTGCAGCTGGACAGGAGGACCCCACCCGTCTCCTCACCTCACCCTCTGACTGCCTTTGGACACACTTCCAGCAGTATCATGCAGGACCCCCGCATACAGAGCATAAGGTACACACACGTGCATACAGGTGGACTGAATAGACGTGTGCTTACATGAAACTTTTTTAACTCTGTGTCCCTTTTCTGCAGTTTACCTGGACAGATGCACTCTGTCGTTCCTTCGAGTGCTGTTCCAGAGGAGTACCTGAGAGCCCTCCGACCCTTCGCCACCTCAGATGATCTCCGGCTGACCTCTCTGCCTCTGAGTCTCGACCCCACTGTGGCTGCTCATGCTGCCGCCGCTGCTGCTTACTATCACCCTGCTTACCTGCACCACCCTCTGTCCTTGCAAAGGTTAAGAGCTCACATTTAAGTAAACAGTCCAATTTAATCCAATACATTTTGATTCATTGTGAATGTTAATGCATTAAGTAATTCTCCAGTTTAGGCCCTATTGAGCCACTATCCTGCAGGCTGTAGTTGTTTTCCTTTTCCAAAACTGATTTAATGTTTGAACTACCTGTTTAGTGTCTCCTCACACTCTGAATAAGTCTGTTTATTACTAATGCATTTAAATCAGGTGTGCTGGTACAGAGAAGTGTCTAAAACATGCAGGATAGCAGGATCAGGATTGGACATTACTGACCTCATGGAACAATAGAAAAATAAAAAATAAGCACAGAACCTTGCAGAACTCCAAAAAAGGTCTCAGTTGTCTAAAGCTCCCAAATCCAAATAACGTTTATCACAGTATTTCATTTTATTTTTTTTGCTTAGAGACAAATATCAGATTCAATCAGTATTATCTGTGTTATTTATTACATGATTCTTTTCACAAAGCAGACGGTTACATTTCCATTTCAACTTCAGCTTAATTGTCATTTTTTCCATAAATTCCAAACTGTGTTAGCTGCATTTGTTTAAAAAGAAGTACACATAGTTACTTAAGACACCAAATCTAGAACTAGAATTTACTAAATTGATTAAAAGAAAATAAGTGTTTTACATCAATAAACAAATAAAAGAATTAATAAATTAAAAAAGCTGTAAATCTTTGAGAAATTGCCACTTGTCTGAAGCTCAGTGTGTAACACATTTAAACAGAAAACAACACAAAACATGATACTGGATGTTCAAAGGGAAGTCTTCTTTGGTGTTTTGAATCTTGTTTCAACTGAATGTTTGGAACAAATTGCAGAGGTACAGAAAATGGTGTTATGTGAAAAGAGACAAATTAGCAAAGCACAGCAGCTATTGTGTCTGAATACCGATTCAAATCAAAACAAATCAAAACATCACACAGAAATGCAGCCACCACCTATAACAAAGCACTGATGTAATTTGAACCTAGAGAGAAAACTTCTCTTTTGCATCTCAAGAGGCAAAATTCCATTGCTGTTCCTTGTGCTGCTGAGGAGATGCATCGTGTTTTAACTAGCATCCATACTAAAAGCCAGTGACATTATCGTACATGTGTGACTTGGTTTCCTTCTGTCTGTCACCAGGATGGACGAGTCCATGTGTCTGTCAGCACTGCGGTCGCAGTTCTACTCTGTGCCTGCAGGAGGCGCCTTCCCTCCTCTCCACCCCTCCGCCCTCCAGTTGCACTTACCCGGAGGCCGCTACCCTGGAGAAATGAACCACGCAGCTTTTTCGGAGAGGTAACCATTCCGTCCTTCCTTCCT